CAGGTGCATTTGTTATACAACACAATTAAGTTGATAGAAGTGTAAGAATGCTGGAATACTGAAAAAAGCTAGCAGCTAAAGAGAACTGAGTGTTTATATGCAGTCATTGATCAACATCGATGGGAGATTAGTTCCAGGTCTCCCTCTAACACTAAGATCTGCAGGTACTTGAGTCCCTTATGCAAAAGTGCCACAGTGTGTGCATGTTATCTATGCAGCTCCTTTCATATATTTTGAATCATGTCTACATTAATTAGAAGACTGAGTTCTTTATAAAGTCTATGTAAATAGTTGTTCTGCTGTGTTTGTTAGGGCAGACAACACAAGAGAAAAGTCTGTACGTGCTCAGTGTATACAACTGAACCTTAGCCAGACTTGGAAGGGTTTCTGTACCCATATTCTTACACCTAATTAGACATCCACTTCCTTTAATCTAATTTTTTAGCAGCTTATTGTTTTCACATAGATTTCATGTGGCCCCATTATCATATATAAAGACCTTACATATCTGCTTCAGAATCAATTCCACCTGGGGATTTGTGTATTCATATTCCACAGAGCAAAACAGAAGCCTCAGTGTCCTCACAGTGAAATCACCCATCCTTGGGCAGTTCTGCCTCAGAAGAATAAGAGTGTTGTCCTTTCGATAAAACCTATCCTCTTATTCTAGATAAACGCTGGATTCTATAACTTGTCTGACAGATCATGAGACACTGCTATGCAAAGCAGGGTCAAGAATCTCATTCCAAGCCTACTAAGCCCTCCCAGACTATTTCAATTCTAATCATCCTCCCACGCCATCTTCCCAGAGTTCACACAGCACCTTATGAAACCCACTAAGACCCTTAGAAAATCTGCAGAGGCCTCACCTCCACTTATGTTCTCTTCCACTCCTTTTCCTTGTTAGTTTTGGCAGTGCGCTGTCCTAGTCTGGGAGCAAAGCTACATCCCTTCCTTGATGTTCCATGACACTCATAGCTGGCACAAGTCAGGGTTGCCATTCTTATGTTTGTGCCTTCCAAAGATTGCTTACCTTTGCTCTTTGAAAAATTCCTATTAGTTTGAAAACCATGATGTTAGAAACTACGTGCTGACTCTTCTTCGTGCTATTCTCTTCATTCACTGACAACCTGAATTTATTCCACCTCACCATCACTTAATATCTACCCAACACTAGTTTTTGTTTTTTCAAAATCCTTCATATTGTTTACACTTTAAACATATATCTCTGTATAACACCATGTTTTTAAATTTGTACACAATGTAGAATGGTTAAATTAAGATTATGAACACATACTTGTCAGTGTTTTTGTGGTGAGAAAACTTAAAACTCTAAGTTTTTCATAACCGCCATATCGTAGGATGGATTGCCAAAAGTGTTTCTCATACTTAAGTCAAATTTTTTACTCTTTGACCAATTCCCTAACACCTCCAGCCCCTACTATCTATTTCTGTGATTCCCACATTTTCAGCTTCTGCATATGAGTGAGATGAGGGCATTTGTTTTCTGTCTGCCTTTTTTTCACCTTATATAATATCCTGCAGATTTATCCATATTGTCACAAATCACAGGAATTTTTTCAATGATATAGCTGAATAGTAGTCAGCTATGTAGATACACCACATTTTCTTCATTTGTCCATTGAAGGATGCTCATATTGATTGCATATGTTGGTTTCTGTGAATTAAAGCTGCAATGAGCATGGGAGTGCACATATCTCTTTGATATACTGATTCTAGTTCCTTTGGATAAATTCTTAGTAATAGGATTTCTGGACCATGTGGCAGTTCCAATTTTAATGTTCAAGGAATTTCCATGCTGTTTTTTCATAATGGATTTACATTCCCCTCAATGTGGGCAGGGGTTCTCTTTTCTCCATATTCTCACCAACACTTTTCTTTTTATAATAATCATGCTAACAGGAGAATTGTGATATTCCAATATAGTATAAATTTGCACTTTCCTAATGAGTAGCAATGTTAAGTTTTCATATACCTGTTTTGACATTTCTACATCTAATTTTTAGAAATGTGTATTTAGGTCCTTTTCCCATTTTTAAAATCAGATTATTCATTTTTGCTATTGCTTCAGTTACGCACAATTGTGTGTGTATATGTCCCTTCAGATTTTCAGTGAGTAAATATTTTCTCTCAATCCATAGATTGTCTCTTTGTTCTGTCGATTCTTTCATTTGCTGTGCAGAAGTATTTTTTAAGTTTGATATAATCCCATTCATCTAATTCTATTGTTGCCCTTGCTTTCAAGCTCATATTCAAAAAATCATTGCCACAAACATGTTTAAGCTCCTTTACAACACTCAGTGATTTGATTCATGCTCCATTCCTGACTTTCCTACAGGCTGGCTCTCATCATTAAATTTTTTAAATCTCAAATTCAAATATTTCACTTTCTACTCTGCCCTTTTGGCTGACTTCAACATGTTCTGTGGTATAAAATAGTTTCTCAGCTTCAGCAAGATCTGTTTCTCTCATCAGTTTCCCTACCTCCTCCATCAATTTCTTCCTTACTCAGCTTTGATTCCATGATCAAAGTTAAAAATAGTCCTTCAAAAGCATCCTGTGATGGCTAATTTTATGTTTAAGCCTTCTTGGGTTACAGGATATGCAGAATATTTGGTGAAGCCTTGTTCTGGGTGTTTCTGGGAGAGTGGTTCTGTAGGTGATCTTCCACTGAATGGACAGACTAAGTAGAATGTCCACCTCAGTGTAAGTGGACATCGTCTGATCCAACATGAGTATGAAAGAATTCTCTATCTTTGCCTGACTCTCTTTTTATCTTTAGACTTGGATTTGGGTCTAGAGCTTGTTGACTGCAACTCTTGCACAGAGACCCACTTCTTATCCTATTCTCCTGTCTGTTTCTCTGCAGAACCCTGCCTAATACACACACTAGCTTCCTTGCTTCTTCCCTCCTTACGTATTTTGTAATAGTTAATATCATATTACTAAGATGTAACAATGGTTAAAAACAATTTTGTACTCAATCCTCATTTGTTCTAGTTCAAGCAAAATAAAAGCTAGAGAAAATTAATTATTCCTATTTACTGGTTTCCCTTTTAGTTTTTGAATCCAAACCTGAAATTAGCATTTGCTATTTCTTCATGTTCCCACTCGTTACTTTTTCCACTCTGGGAAATCAGAAATTTTTTTCTCTGAATTTATTCTTATTTCACATCTTCAGCATTTTCCTACAACTTTTGAATACTTCCCATGCACTCTCCCTCTGCTGACATTCTTGCTTTGGACTTCATAGAGTAGTAGGAAGAAAAGATCTCCTTAGGTCTTACGCTGAGTTGACCACCCTGGCAGTCCCCATATCACTACTCTGCTCAACACCTGTGTTTAAAAAGCATCACAGGTCTATGTGTCACTCACTTTCCACTAGCACAAGAGATCCCATTCTTCCATTTCTTCCCAGAGGACACCTGTCAAACATTTACCTTAACCTGTCTCAAAGTTTGAAACATGAAGTTCTTTCACCTTTCTTACTTGCTGCTTCACATCATGACTTTGGATCTACATTGGCTTCTGTAGTCCCTGCCTTCTATCCAGACTTCCTTGTCTTCTCAATCAGTTCACTCTTCCTACTCCCTGAATCTCACATCTCAAAGACAGGGATGAGATATGTTCTCTTACGTTCTCAGTGTTCCTGTTGTTCCTGGATGTCTTCCCACCTTCATGGCTGTTCTCGGACTACTTCTTTTCTTCCTTCTCTTCTAAACGTGACAGCAACAGGAGTTCCATACTTGACCTTCTTTGTATTTTCCCTAAATCAGGAATCTCTCGTAGCCCATGGCTTCAAAGGCCATTTCTACATTTCAAGTGTACTTATATGATCATGGCCCCAAATTAGTTTCTCCAGCTTCAAATACTCCACTGAGTTTCAGGCTCCTTCCTTCAATTGCACAGTTAACAACTCTTCCTGCATACAGAGAGCTTCCCTATTCTAGGAAAACCAGTAAAACAAAACTCTTGATTTCTCCAGGTATTTTCTCGTGTTGGTATCTCCCATCTCAAAAACCAGTGCTATCTTCATCCAGTATCTTGAACTAAGAAGTTCAGAATCTTAGATTCTTCTACTTAACTCATGCTATCATCTAGAGCACTATAACTCCACAATACCTACCTTCCTATTGCCTGGCTTCTTTCCATATGCATCATTTTCCCTTTGAGATAAAGCCTTGCTTCACATACCTTTTTGATCACCTCTCATTTCTATTTCACTTGATGGATAGTCCACTCCACACAGAGCAGCCAGGACCATCTTTATAAAAATACCAACCAGATCATAGGACCAATGCATAGTTCTTAGAACACAGCTCACCCCCTACACTGTGGCCATTAGCTGCATCACAGTCCCTTTTTCTAACATTATATCATTTTCCTCTGATACTCTTAGTTATACTGGGCTTAGCTTAGTATCTCAAACCAATAAAAAAATTCCAGTGCAGGGGTCTGCCTTGGTTCTTGCCCTACTAGCAAATATTTTCTATTTATTTTTGCACAAAAATCTTTATGATAATATTGGTTTTAATAAGATAAATATTTAACTATACAGGCTGAGGAAATAGGTGAGGTGGGGAAAGGATGCCTTCCTGAAATGTCTGTTTGGTGAGGGAGGGGCAGGAAAAAGAGGGCAGGCAGGGGAAGCTAAAGGTTTTGTTATGAACAGTTCTTAGGTGTGAGCTTAATAGAGCCAGAACTAGCTGGTCATGGACGTGGCAGGGAGGACAGCTGGAGAAATAGGTGGTAAAGTTGGTGTGTCAGTCAGTGTCCCATGCCTGGGGTACAGCATGAAGTTAGACGTTGAAAGTGGATGCATAGCCTGAAGTCTCAGGAGGCATGTGGTAGGGCCCTGACTCTTAGAAGGCAAATGGACCAGAGGGCAGAGTGTCCTCAGGGGTGAAAGACATCCTAAGGGGTCTACTCTTGTGCACAGGTGGTGGGCCGCCAAGGCCACAGGTGGGCTGCATCTTCTCTCAGCTCTCCAGATAAGACTCTGGGCCCTGCGCAGGCGTTGTTCCCATGGCGGGCTGGAGGTAAGGCCGGGGCTCAGTCACCTCTTTGCAGACATCGAGGCTCCAGGAGCGCTGACTTTGGTTCAGAGGCCCGGGTCTGGGCACAAAGGAAGCCACCACTCCATTTTTTACCCGGGGCTTGAAGGCAGATGGCCTGGGCTCTGGGTTCTGCCTCCTGCCCTTGACTTCAGGTATCTCAAACCCCAGTGGCCCATTGAACTTCCTGTTGCCCTTCTTGCACTGGCTGAGCGCCCTGAGCACGGTTTCTTGGGCGCAGGGGTCGGGGCGCGATTCCACACCCAAGCATCCTGCTGAAAGGGTCCCCAGCCTGGAGGAGGCCAGGGGGCTGCCCCTGCTCTCAGGAGGAGCAATCTTGATGGTCACCGCACTGCAGGTCCGCCTAGGATTCCGGGCACCCCAGAGCCACCGGTTCTTGTAAGTCTCCCAGGCCCTGAAGATATCAGGCCCCACGGGGGTCTCTGGGGGTGACTGGGCCGGGGAGCGCCGCCACGTCCCGGAGACCACCCTGCGGGGCTGGTCCAGGTTCCAGTAGGGCGGCGCCTTGGGAGTGGATCCACTGGAGACCTGACTTTCACTGTGGACGTGCTGGACACTGTCCTGCACCCAAGCGGGTCGGGGCTTCGGGTGCCTACGGGCTGGGGGCTGTGGCGGCGGCTGGGGCGAGCCCAGGAAGCTGCCCATGGGAGCTGGGAGGCAAGGTAGGGCCTTCCAATTAGGATTCGGCTTCCAGAAGTTTCCGATGTCTGAGGAAGCAGCCAGAGGCCAAGTGTCCTGCGAATCGGGTGACCGTTGGCCTCAGGGGAAGTGCGCGAGGCGAGTGGTGGAATCCTGCAGCCCCCATGCCACGAGGCGGGACGCGCAAGGTCACAGACCGCCAAGACCCCGCTCAGGGGCAGCTGAGCTCGTCGCCATCTGCAGCTCCACGGGCTTAACGACTGTTTGGCCCGAGAGAGGGGCGCCTAAAATATTCTCTGTCTCTCTCTCTCTCCGTCTCTGTCTCTGTCTCTCTCTCTCTCTCTCTCTCTCTCTCTCTCTCTCCTGTCTCTCCCTTCCCCTCCCTCTCTTCTCTCCCTCCCCCTCCCTGTCTTCTCTCCCTTCTGTCTCTGTCTTTTCTTTTCTCTCTCTTCTCTCTCCCTCTTTTCTCTCTCCTCTCCATCTTCTGGTTTAAGGACTCCTAAGATTTATTCTCCCCCTCTCGTCTCCCTTCCCTCTCTTCCTCCTGTTCCTCTTCTCTCTCTTATTGCTCCCTCTTTTCTCTCTTCCTCTCTTTTCTCCTTTCTTCTGTCATTTTTTTCACCTCTCTCCTTCTTCCCCCTCTCTCTCCCACCCTCTCTCCCTCTTTACCTCTCTTTCCATCTCCCTCTCCCCCCAACATCTTTACTGTAAATTCACATTACTGTGGTATACCTATATTTCACTAAAGAAAGTGTTTTAGTGTATTCAGAGATATACATTTATCCTCATAGTCAATATGAAGACTTGCTCATCAAAAAAAAAAATCCCTGTGCTCAATAGCTATCACTGTCCTAGCTAACTGCTCTCCAAGCCTAAACAACCACTAATCCACTGCGTCTCTATACCATTCTGTCTTGTGAGCATTCCTATAAGATGTAGTCCTTTGTGACTGCCTTCTTTCATTTAGCATGATGGTTATGGGTTTGCCTTGTGCGATATACCTCATCTCTTTCTACGTCCAAAGTTATCCCATTGCAGGGATATACCACATGGGCTGTCTTCACCCTTGGACTTTTATGAATATACCTGCTGTAGACATTCCTATTAAGATTTTGTGTAGACAAATGTTTTCCTTTCTCTTGGATAAAAAGCTAGAAATACAACTGTTTAGTCATATGGTAACTCTACATCTCTCTTTTAAAGAAACCACCAAACTGCATGAACTATGTTTCATCCCAACTGGCAGTGTTACTCTATTTTTGTACTTGACATTTAGAGAAAGCATAATGATTTCCAAAGTTCATAAAAATTGCATATAAGCTATTGACAGAAGGGCATTTTCTTTCATTATCGTAAAAATGGACATAATTCACTTGAATGCTTTTAAGCAAAAATAACTAGTTTTTGTTTCAGTAAATGTGATACATTTTTGTTCTAGAATGGTTGTTAATGTCACTTTTTGCAATTTATCTCTTAAGGAAATAGTGGTTTTAGCACTGACAATGTTGATTTTATGTAGACACCTGTAGTGTTAGCCTGTCGTATCTAGATTTTCTTCTCACTGAATGATAATGTGATTTCTCCCAATCTCTCTGTCTCCCCCCTTCCCTCCCTCCCCTCTCCCTTCCTTCCTCCATCCTTCTTATTTTAACTCCCCTCACTCTACTCCCCTCTGCATGCCCTCTCTGTCTCTTTCTCTTTCCATTTTTACTGATAATCTCTGTGCTGTGTTTTTATATATCTTGAATTTGTCTCCTAAACATTCATGTTTTGTAGGCTTGGTCCTAAGTGTGCCAATGAGATGAGCTGGGGTCTAGTGGAAGGTGTTTCGGACCCTGGGCGTGTACCCTCAGAAAGAAGGTAGTTTTCAGGGGTCCCCAGAGTTAGTTCTCACAAGAGGGCCTATCCACTTCTCAGTCAGTTTGGCTTCGTGACTGAGTAGGTGACCTCTCCTTGCAAACACTCGCACACTGTGACACCCTCCACTGTGATGCTCCCATTAGGGTCAAATGCTGGTGTCAGGCACTCAAACCTCCAGAACTGTGAACTGAATAAACTTCCTTTCTTTGTAAATTAACCTGCTTCAGGTTATCATAGTGATAGAAAATTCATGCACTATGTACAGAGGGTAGAAGATTCATTAATATAACAAATGTTGACAAGTTCTGACTCCAAAAACAAAGTGTTTGAAGAATACTGGATAAATGATTTTGGTGGTCAAGTTTGGGAACCTTTTCAAGGTAGGGTGAAATAAATAGTTCTTGAGAACTTTTTCTCTCAGGCCTGTGCCCAGGGCATCCCTGAACTGGCCTCAAAGGTGAGGCTAGCAAAGAACCAAATCCTAGAGCAAACAACAGGTTCTTTCAGGATCCAAGAGGCAAGTGAATGATATAGACCTCAAAAGTTGCTGAGCAAACCTGGTGCCAATGGCTCACACCTGTAACCTTAGCTACTCAGGAAGCACTGATCAGGAAGAGCATGGCTTGAAATCAGTCCTGGGCATATAGTTCACAAGGCTTACCTTGAATATACCTAATACCAAAAAGGTTTGGCAGAGTGGCTCAAGTGGTAGAGTGCCTGCCTTGCAAGAGTGAAGCCCTGAGTTCAAACCTCAGTATCATCAAAACAAAAACAAAAACAAAAAACTGAGCAGAAAAGCTTAGGTTTTAGCATTTAAGATGTGGCTGATTGTCAGAAAAGGGGGATGATGTCTGCCAAATGGTGATGCAGAATGAAATCCATTTCTACTCAGTGACTACTAATCCATTCTCATTTTCCCATAACCCCCAGCATACAATTTTGTAAACAAAAAAAAATACCAAATTGTAACTTCCCTCTTAACAAGATGGTTATTGACAATGATGGCTTTCACAACTGTGAAATCTCTTAGGTTGGTACTATCATCAGAGTCCAGTTAGTAACTTAAGGTATAGATTTGTTTTTGTTTCCTTGTGTTTTGAGACAGGGGTTCACTATGGAGCCTATGCTGGTCTCGAGTTCATGAGCTACTGCTTCAGTTTCCCAAGTGCTAGATTTACAGGTGTGTACCACCACACCTGGCAATTAAGGGTGTAGATTTTTTTTTAAATGTATTCTTTCTTCTCAATTCTGCAGTTTTCTCTGTCTTATCTTCAATAAAACCCAATGATAGTTATGTTGATTTGTGCATATATTCCCTTTGTAAAACCACAGTCTTCCTGTTGGCAGCTGTAAGTTAACCACTTCTATATGAACCTTCCCTCCAAAAGATTAGTTAGGAATGATTTTCATAGATGTTAAACATGCTGGATTCTTTTCCTTTTCACACTCCAAGTAATAGCAGATTTCTTTTTGTTTGCTAACATTAGGAATTAATGTAGACCACTGCAATTAGAGATGGCTTTGTGCCCCCTCATCCACCACTTCAGAGATGGTCTCTAATTGGGGTTGGGAAGGAAAAGTGAGACATTCTGCATTGCACAAATTGCATCCCATGGGGTGGTCTGGTCCTTGTCAATCTGGCTGAGAAACCCTACTTTGCTACCTGCCTTTAATATCAACAAAAGCTTTTATCAAAACTAAGATATTAACATGGATTCAGTGCTACTAAGTAAACTTTAAGCTCTGCTTAGACATCATTGTGTTTTTCTTTCTTTTCTGGAATTAATCTCTTTAGTTTTCTGAGTCTTTCCTTGTTTTCTCTGACCTTGATACATTGGAAGCACAGGTGTCAGGTATTTTCTAGAACTGCTCAATTTTTTTTTAAATTTGCTTAGCAGTTTCAATCAAAATATACATTAAGGTAACTTAATGTGCTAAATCATTCTAAAGTTCCTACTGAAAATGTCACAGATATATTATCACATTTTCTTTCCATAGAGAAAGTTGCATTTGGATTTATCATTTATTTTCTAGCATATTTTTTCCCTGAGCCCTGTGACCTGTTGCTTGCTCTTTGTGTTGCTATGCCTTGTTTTGCCTGAGCTTTGAGGCTTTTAAGTTTTTTCACATTTGTAGAGGTGATTTTATGTTCGAGAACTTGTTGCCACGTTTTGACAACACTTTTCATTGCTGCTCTTACAGTTTGTTTTTGGGAGTATTCTTAGGTAAACTTTTTTTTAGAAAATATCTTAATTGAGAATACAATTGAACTGTCATACAGTTCATCCATTTAAATTTTAGAATCCAGTGACTTTTATATATTCCCAGATATGAGCACCTATTACTATACTGAGTTTTAGTATTTTCACCACATCACAAAGAAATTTGTGTGTGGTGCCTGCCTATGGTCCCAGCCACTTGGAGGAGGTGGAAGGAGTGCCATCCCAGGCAAAAGTGGGAAACCCTATCTGCAAAACAGACTAAAAGCAAAGGGAACTGATGGTGGTTCAGGCTTGCCTAGAAAGAGTGAGACCCGGAGTTCAATCCCCAGTGCTTCAAAAAAAAACAAAAAACAATTAATCCTGTACCTTCCCACCTCTGCCAGTTAGCTGTCAACAGCTGAAACGGGAGTTTTGGACCCAATGGCCAAACTCCTGAGAGTCCACATGCCAGGTCCAGCCACCTGCTCCTAAGTGCAAAATAAAGAGACATGGTGAAGGCAGAGAGAAAGATTCATTACACAGTGTGGGACATGCCTTGGGAAGAGGCTGAATAAGTTTTCAGCCCATCTTCAGCCATCTTCGGGGTGTAGACATGAGCTGTAGGTTTAAGTAAACAATAGAGCTGGGGGCAGGGGACAAAGCTATGCATAGTCAAATAGCCCCAGTTATAGGAGTTTTCTATGATCTCAGTCCAAGTGTTCCTAGAGGGGTTCCAGAGAGAAGATGTTATCACTGTCATCACTTGAGGGGAGCAATCTGGTTCCCATAGGATGATTACTCCTGCTCTAGGGTGCAGCATCATAATTATAGGTAATTGTCCTCATTTGGAGGGGTGGTCTGTCCTGCAAGTCTCCTCTGTTCCTTATAGGAAGTTTCAGTCCCTTGTCACAAGATGTTATCAGTCCTGTCCTTTCCGGAATCCAA